TTTTTTTTTTTTTTTTTTTTTTTTTTTTTTTTCTTCCCCCCCACACCTTTCGAATAGCCAGCTGATATCTATGTCTAGATCAAACGTGGATCATCATCGTCCTGATCCTCATCTCCATCATCGTCACCACTTCAGAGGTTTTTCTCCGCTTCGGCCTCCTTTCTTCCCGCGAGGGAGGCGTCTCTGCTTCGTCGCTGGCGGGGACGATCGTTGCCCGTGCCGTCAAGGGACAGGCTCCCGCGTGTGTCTGTCCTTTGAATCCAGATAATGGCTCGCTGTTTTGAAAAAAAAGGGTCAATTTCTATTATTACCCCTTGTTGATACAGACTTAATAGTAATTCATTATCCATCCTACTTTCCATCTGTCAGGATAATGTACCTAGGTAACTACCTAAGGAATGTAGTAATGGAATTAAATGCTTTGTATAATACAGTCAGTAAAATTTACATAATTCAAGAGAGTTATTAATATAGCAATGTCAAACAGAAGAGAGGAAAAGATAAAGAAAGAAAAAAAAAGAAGAAAGATTAAAAAAAAGTAGGATAGGATGCCAGGCCCAACTCCTTTTAAAACAGAGACCAGACCAGACCAGACAAGAATACCATTTCTGAACCGACCCAAGCCCACACACCCAACCAAGAGAACCCGTTCCCACTCTCTATCTATGCTTCATTCTGGGTCGTGGTGCACATCATGCAGAAGGAAACAAAGTGAGAGAGAGCATAAAAAACCTCTTTGAAACCCCTCAAGACCCTGAAAATCAAATCATCAAACCCCGCCCAGAGACTCCTTTCCTGCACACAGTAATAGCATAGGACACCCGACAAACAGACATAAATAAGAGGTGTAAGATGTAGATAGCGGTGTAAATTAATGCTGAAATGACTGCTTTCCATGGGAATCACAAATCTCAAGACAAAAGAAAAAAAGTTGAACAAAGGGAAAAATTACAAAGGAGAAGAAGGTTGTAGATCATATCACCTTGAAGAAAAAAAGGGGGATTGCACTCTTTCCCATACAATAGGTAACCTATGGAGCGTGGGTTAACTAGACAGGGGTGCCCCATCCATCATTGATTCTAGGCTTCATCTCGTAGTTCTCCGGCTCAGTGCTGGTTGGACGACGGATGGTGGAGTTGGGAAAATACATATGGGGCGGCATAGAGCTGGGATATGACGGTCCACTGGGTTCGGGATATGTGAAATCGTTTGCCGATCCTGGAGATGGAATGCTTCCATGTGACGGAGATGCCCATCCCAGACTGGTCATATGGGGGCTACCGTTGACACTGCTGGGACGATGATCATTATTTGCAGGCGGCTCCAGAGGCTGCGGCGGCGCATAGGCAGTGGGATGAGATGTCATCGAGGGTCGGTTGTGTGGCGCACTACCGAAGCTCGATAGTGAGGGTGAGGTGGCCGCCGGAGAAGCCCGCGGGCTCGCCTGCTGGAAATCACCTCGTACATGAGGTGGGATGGATCCATTGCCCATGTAATAATCCCCAGCGGAGCGATGCATGTTCAACGGAGGGAGGTCACTGCCCGGAGACATCGTGGCGGGCTGCGCGGGAGATGGAGCCGAGTGAATGGATGCGGTATCCGAGTAGATGCCGTCAGTCCTCTCGCGTTTGATATTCTGTCTCAGACTGGCTTCCGTCTGAGCGGCCGCCTCCTCGATCGTCCCTGTGTGATGATTTTGATGGCGAGTCAATGTCGTGCGGCGAGTAAATGTCTTTTGACAGTTGGCATAAGGGCATTTATATGGACGCTTCCCAGAATGGATTCTGCGATGCCTAGCTAGTGATGATGAATCACTAAATGGCTATATGGATTGTCAGTTTAGAAGGGGGGGGGGGATAAATATTCAAGTAATGAGAACACACCTTGCCACATCTCTCGCACATATGGGGTTTCTCTCCCGTGTGAACACGCGAATGCACTGTCAGGGCTGAACGCTGGATGAATTGTTTTCCACAACCCGGCCAGTCGCAAGCATGAGGCCGGATCCCTGTGTGTATCCGCTCTATTATAATAAAAAAAAATCCGTTAGCTCAACAGCCCATACATTCTCTCGAGTCAGAGGGGTGCTCACCATGCCTAGCGAGATCACTCCGGCGAGCAAATCCTTTGCCGCAGGTTGAGCAATGGAAGGTCTTTGGCGGAGGGTCTGCCCCGGATCTTCCTGGTGGAGGCGGAGCCCCATTAGGGATTTGTAGATTTGGCGGGTAGCCCCCGGCGACATACGGGCTTTGCATCATCGGTAAGGCGGCATTCGGGTGTGTGGGAGACGGAAACCGCATGCCTTGATGTATGTTGGGCATCTGCGTGAGAGGAGGAGCGGTGGGAGGGAATGCCATGACTGTGTGGTCACCGGGCTGTGAAACGCCGTGTTCTGAACTCATGTCGGAGAGTTGAGAATCTAAATGCGGGACTTGAGAGAAGTGTTGATGGAATTGTGCTTCTGCAGCGACCAGGGCGGCAGAGTTCTTCCGATTCAGGATTGTCGTGATGTCCATGACCCGACCCAGCGGTACGCTGGAAGATCGTGGTCAAGAACGGGCCAAAGACCGTCTGACGAACAGACCCTTTGACACGTAACTTGCAGCGAAAAGAATTCCCCGCAAGGTCCCCTAACACCGCTTTATGCTATTGGCGAAACCCGAGTAGATGCGCAAATCGAGAGGGAGCTGAGTAGGAAGGGAAGGAGGTATGTCGAGCAGAACTGATACGAAAGTGTCAGAATATACAGTTCGAACTCCCCCAAATCATGTCGAAGTAGGCTTGTAGGAATACCGATCCACTTCCTGAAGAAGGGGACTTACCACGCGTGCTGTGACAAATCTCTAATCCAAGAATGAAAGATACCGAATTCCTCACTCCCATAAGCTGGAATGTGGGCGGAGAGGTGGTGAGAGCAGGGACGTGCGCGTGTAGTCTAGAACAGTTGGGAAAACCAAGGGCCTCGACAACGATGCTGCCCGCGAGAAAACTCCGTAAACCAGACGGGATTTCTTTGGGGTTTGAGCAGTCTCTCACGTTGAGTGTTTGTAGCACACCGAGCACCTTAACGTGGCTCGAACGGCGAGATTGGATGTACGCGACCCGTGATCACTCCACCCGATGAAACCGCAGGCACCGAAAAGGAGACGCTAGACACGAAGCACAGCGAACAAGCGGTCGGGGAGGAGGGTGAAAGGGGTGATCTCGGCTCGTTTTTTTTTCGCTCTCTTCTTTTTGTGCAGTTGCGGCGGGCAAGCAGAAGGCAAATCGGCGGCTGCTGTAAAGAACAAGTCTGTCAATAAACGTTTCTTCTTCCCCACGATTTTCTGGTAATCGCAAGCTTTGTTCCAAGATACGTCTTCGAATGTGTAATGATGTGCCTTGTAATTGTTTTTTCGGGATGACCTATTCACCGCTCGCTGGGTTTCGCGAAGTCGCGGTGGGATACCACCGAGCAGCTCATGGATCTCCCGGCAACAGATGTCTAGCAGTTTCGAATCCTAACCGATCGCTTATATCCGATCCGATGGAAAAGGACGTAGGTGAAAGGGGAGAGTGGGCGAACAAGGGAAAAACAAAAAAAGAAAATCAGGGAGGCAAGACTGCACCCCCTCAAAGTGCGTCATTGACACACACACCCCCCCGAGCGACAGACTCCCCGGACCAATATGAGAGAGCACACGTACCGATGATGAGAAAGCAAGTCCAGGACTCGAGGATGAAGATGAGACGATTCAACAGACGTCCTCGTCGGTTTGGGGATGGATACTCAGCCACCAGTGGGCGCAACCGTTTGAGATGGGGGTCAAAGTGGCGGAGAGCCAGCAACGAGGCGGATTGCGATCAGAAACAGAGGGAAGGCAAAACAGAGCTGACCGAGCCCGTCCGGGAGGGCAAAGTCGAGGGATAGTTGGTTCAAAGGACCAGATCAGTGTTGGAGAGCGAGACTCCCAACGATCAAAGGGCGACGGAGATCGAGATGAGGGAGGGAAAAAAAGTTTTAGGTGTGGTAGGTGCTAATCAGGCGTGCCCAGGTACAACAACAAAGACTGGAGCGAGTACTTAAACTGACGCATCAACGTGATAGGGAGAGATGAGGCGTCGACGATGAGCCTGATTCCTATTATATTTCTTTCATTTCCCTGGCTTCCTATTATTTATTTATTTATATTTATATTTTTTTTTTAATTACGGAGGGTTCGGAGACCAAAAGCTTCCACGTTTCCACCTCGCGTTCTACCAGCCCCATCAAGCGCTGGCGGCACCAGAAGGCCACCGTCCGGCTCCACAACATGAACCCCCCTCTCCCTCTTCCTCTCTCTCACAGTCTCCCCTCCCCCCCCCCCCCTCCCCGTCCCTGTGGCCATGCGTCGAAGCGGCCTCCCTGGTGGGTACGTCTGGCGCCGATCTGAGCGAGGATGGTGGTGCTGCGCCATGACGGCGACCCTGGGCCGCGACGAACGCACGAAGCATCCCCCGGCCTCGGGTGAGACCAGTTTCTCCAGGCTTTGACCTGGTCGCGCGCCCGGAAATCAGCAGAGACAATGTAACGCAGAGTTCCAAGCCACCGTTGAAGATCTTATGCGGAAACAGGAACAGAACGATGCACGTTGCCTTTTAGTCTAGAGATCCAGATGGGCAGGGCAAGCTTGATCCCTACTTTTGTCAGGAGAGCGAATTTCCGAGCGTGCCCAATTTCCCCTGATACGCAAAACCGTGTGACATGAGCATGACGCTTCAGGTCATGTGCCGTTTCTAGGAACTCTCACTACTACTACATACGTACTCTACACTCAGGGTGAGAGGAGGGGGGGGGGAAGGGCAAAAAGGGAAAAAGAAAAGAAAAGAAAGAAGCAGCAACGGATGGAGACAGCAGCGCCAAGCCTGATTTGTGACGGTCGAACGAGGGAGGTGCTTTTCCCTCCGCCACACCGGCGCACACTTGGACGGATAGGATAGATCGTTCGGCAAGGAAGGCCTGATCGACTTGTGGCTGGCTGCCTGTCAAATTTCCCGTCAAGTTTTCTGTCACATTGCGCTGTCGACCTGAGCCAGACAGAGGGCTCTATACATAGTCAATATCCTCTGTACGGTGTGTGCTCCGTACCTACTATTACTATTTCCAGGTTGTCGTTAGGCGATCTGTGACAGGGCAGGGAGCACCTAAGGCTGGCGACTCGTGGCGCGGGCGTGCTGAAACGATGCCGATCGCACGGTCGAACAATGAACGGTCCATCGCTTGACCGTTGTCTTGGTGGGGGATGGACAGATAGAGGACCTGACAGCAGCTACAGTGCAAAGACAACGATCGATCGTTTCCCACCCCTTCCCCCTCCTCTCTGACTCTCTCCGGCCGAAAGGACAGGGGATGGGAGGAGGGGGGGGATACAGCTTATCGTTGGCGGGCAACGGCTCAAGCCACTACACTGGATTAACTTTCTGGTGGCTGCACGACGCATGTCACGTATTCGCAATCTGAGGGATATCATGGATAGGAGTTGCCGAAATACGAGTACGGACTGAGATTCAGGTATGTAGCAACAACCACCCGAGTCTTTTGGCATTCAGTGTACTCCGTAGTAAGTTGGTATGTAGATAATCACTAGCTAACTCTTCAATTCAAGCCCTCGTCTACGAATGGTACCTATGGTAACTAGTAGGCACCATGGAGTAGGTCTACCTAGCCAAACCCCTGGGTGGTGCGATGAGCGATCCCTCCCATTTCCTCCTTTTCCCCTACCCAGTTAACTAATAGTCTTCTAAGTTCTTCCCCCTGCGCCAAGCTATGTGGGTCACCTTCTACAGAACTTCCAGAAGCCCTGCGGAAAGGCCGAATGTTCCACATGAGCCGTTGCATGTGTAGTAACTAGTGTACTACATAGTTACCTAGTTACTACGGAGTACATAGGACTAGTCACTGGTCAGCCTTAGGTACCAACTAATGGTGAACTAAATCGTCACTAAGCAGGGGCCTATGACTAGCATCGATATTAGTGCAGCCTGGAGGGGAGAGTCGGTACCAGTGACCAGCCTGTAAGACCAGAGACAATTCGACTGGGTTGGGAGAAGATGCGTTGCTTATCTTGTATCACAGATGAAATTACTACAAGTCTAGGTAGGACAATCGTTTCAATCTCGGCGTACAAGCACTGTGTAGTAGTAGTAATAATAATAATAATAATTATTATTATTATTATTCTTATTCTTATTATTATTATTACTACAGTCTTCTAGAAGATTACCCAGAATAGGAGTTACTCCGTACTCCTTTACTACGTAGGTTAGTAGGTACCTAGGGTAGTAACCACTACGGAACTGTAGTACAGTAAATTACCCAAGGTACATAGTACTTACCTCTTACCTCTTTGGCAGGCTTCTGGAAAGATTCGAAAAGTGGTCAGTGTTTTCTACTTTGGGCTTAGTGCCGCCCACTCCAAGACTAGCCCCTTTCATGATACTCATACGTTCTCATACAAAGTAGTTACATTAGGTAGTTAGTTACGACATAGTTAACTAGTTACCTAGTTATGGAGTAACTGGAGTTATATGATTAATGCCTCAAAGTTGGGTGATATTCTAACAATCGAGTTTGGTAATGAGGCACTAGGCAACAGCAACAGCAACAGTAACAGCAACAGCAATGCCAAGCTGTCCAGTTCTTCTTTCAAGGACGGATCTCGGAACGGCACAGCTCCCGCGCTTCGGGACGACAAGGTGCTCTGTGCTTAGCTCTAGAGTCTGCTATGATCAGCATACTCCATAACCAGGCACTTGGTTCTCTCGAGCCAGAGAAGTCATTGTTAGTCGGTCAATCTCCCGTAGTGCTCATAGCAGCGTCATCGACTCATCGTACTCTGGGGTCTCGTGCTAGGAAATGCGGAACCAAGTGACTTCTCTGACGCGCTATCCGCATGGTCAGGCAGTGGTGGTTTCTCCCCTGCTGAAAAAGAAGAAGAAGAGAAAAAAAAAAAAGGGGGGGAGGGGGGAGCACAGAAGGCTTCTAGAAGATGTATGGAACGCGGTGGTGGAGCCTTCTGGCGTATTTCCCTTTTTAGGAGAGTTGTTCAGCTTTTCCATGAGGCTGGATCAGCAGATCCTTGTCTTTTTGATCCTGTCCCGAAATAAGCGAAACGGAAGAGGAATCTGGAATACGAGGATCTGTCTTACTCTTAGCCTTGAGGTAGTGGTTACTACTCTCTGAGTTAGCTCTGTTAGCCCTGTTGACTACCTGAATACAGCATACACGTGTAACTAAAGGGGGTGAGCGGTGAACAGTGAACAGTGAACAGTGAACAGCTGATAATCTTGCTTCTACCTACCTTCTTCTAGAGCCATCTCACATGGCATGTTTCATCTGCTGCAATGACGTTGGCTGAGCTGAAACTCGTAAGCCGTGCGCAGGGATCATTAGGCCAATGCCAGCGGTGTAGATAGTTGAGTGTATCTTGAGAATCGTACGGAGTATTCCAATGAGCGTTGGAGATATGTCGAGTAGAGGCTTCTTACCTGTTACTGGTAGCAGTTGACTGACGGTTTGTTGTGTAGACACGACTGTGTAGACTCGGAGGCCTGTGTCACGTGACCGATAAGAAGCTCCTGCTGCTCTGAATCCAACAGGAACGCAGACCAGGTCAACCGGAGCTTCCCTCGACTCTGCGCGGCTGCAAGTAGGTTTGATTTGGACAATCGATCTGGGAGACACTGGCCAGATGCTAATGGTGATATAGGTAGATCTAGACTGTGCCTGCTCCTCCCGGATCTGAGATGACCTTGTTGAAGATATTATAGCAGAGTCACTACATAACTTCAAACAGAGTCATGGCAGCTCGTCCGAGCCTCTCACGCGTCTCTCGCGTCATCAATAGCCTGGCCTCGACTTCTTTTTCTTCTTCTTCTTCCTCCTCCTTCTCCTCCTCCTCCTCCGCACCGGCCTCACTATCACCCAGCACGTTCCTCCGCCGCCACTCCTCCGTCTCAGCAGATGAGCTCTCCCACTTCTCCGGCCTCGCCAACAGCTGGTGGGACCCAATGGGCCCGTCGCGCGTGCTGCATCTTATGAATCCTCTCCGACATGAGTTTATTGCCACCTGTCTAGCCACTGGCGACACCAGCAATAGCACCGGCAATACTACTAGTCCTCCAGCAAACCTGCATTACCTCGACATTGGCTGCGGCGGCGGCATCTTCGCCGAGTCCCTCGCGCGGACCATCCCCCTGACCCCCTCCGTCCCCGGGACGCCCACGCGCGCCGCGTCCATGACGGCGATCGACCCGTCGCCGCATCTGATCCGCATCGCGCGAGCCCATGCCCGGACCGATCCCACCGTTGACGCACACCTGCGCAGCGGACACTTCAAATACCTCAACACCACCCTAGAAGAGCTATCGGAAAGACTTCTCAAGGAAGAAGAAGCAAAAGAAGCAGAGCAGCCAACAGGTGGGAAATTCGACATGGTCACTCTCTTCGAGGTAATCGAACATATCGACCCCAACACATCCACCCCCGCGACCTTCCTCACCAACGCCCTCCGGCTCCTGAAACCGGGTGGCTGGCTCGTCGGGTCGACCATTGCGCGCACCTTTCCTTCCTTCCTAGTCAACCAGGTTATCGCCGAGGCGCCGTGGCCTGTAGGCGTCGTGCCGCGAGGGACGCACGAATGGAGTAAATTCGTGAATCCGGACGAGCTCGAGGGCTGGGCTAAAGACGGGGTTCGCACGGTACGCTCCCAGCTTCACAACCCATCCGGTTCCCAGAATAAAGCACTTGAATGGCTGTGTTGCGGCGTGATGTATTTCCCTGGTCTTGGGTGGAAGATGGTTCCAGGGTCGGAGAGTTGGGGGAATTATTTCTGGGCAGTGCGAGTGTAGCATTCATATGTCTACTTAGCATACATGTGTATTACTTAACATAGTATTGTATTATTGAACAGATCCTAGATGAAGGAAGCTAGAACATATCTAGATACGTAAAAGAAGCTTACCGCTTCTTTCCCTTCTTTTCCGCAACGGTTACCGTGCCCTGGACGACATCTTCGCTCTGCCCCTTCAAGCGCTCCGAACCACTGATGAAAAAAGTGAGATCGCGGTTCTGCTCCGTGAGGTCCGCATTGGCGCTCTGCAGCTGCTCGACCTGCTTGGCCAGAAAGTCGACCCGCTGCATCAGGCTCTCATTGATGGTCTTCTCCTCGCGCCACTCCTTTTCCAGCCTGCGCGCCATGCCCTCGAACTTGTCCGCGCGTTTCGCAGCCCGCGCCCTGTCGCGCTCCATGGCCGGCACGGTCTCGGTGCTCAGCTTGTCGAACTCGGCCTGGACTTCCTGTAGCCGGCTCGTGGTGGTATCGGCCGCCTCCTGCGCGGCGGTGGCAGCCGCGCCGGCCCGCGACGCCTTGTCGGCCGCCCGCTCGACAATCTCTTCAAAGTACGCGCGCTGGCTCTCCAACTGACTGGTCAGGAGATGTGTGTACTCCAGGCTCATGTTGTCGAGTTTCTCGCGCGGCACGGCGTCCGTCCAGTCCGGCGGGTCGAGCGCGCTGGGGTCCGCCCCCGGTAACTCAACCAGCTTGCCGTCCGTCTTGCTCTGGATGATCCGGTGGACGTACGCGTCGCCCACGTAGTCCCACACCCGCTGCGTCGACAGGTCGATCGCAAACGCATGGCCCGTCGTCTTGTAATGGTCGAAGGCGTGTGCCCCGTCGTACCGCCCGCATCCGATGCTGCCGCAGATCAGGCACATCCACAGGTTCGCCTCCGAGTGGCACACGCTGCATTCCCCCTCCTGCTGCTGGTGCTGCTGGTGCTGGAGCTCTTCCCCCAGATACCCGCCCTGACTGTTGTGCCGGATCTCCGCCTGTGTGTACCGGCACACGGGACACCCATTGCCCTTCCATTTCTGTAAGCACGTGCAGTGGAAGACATGCTGGCATAGAATCGTCAGCAGTCCGCTCGTCTCGTCCATCCGTTCAAGGCACACGGGACACGTCGGGAGTTCCACCAGTGCGGGGGTCGGCGGGGCAGGAGGTTTGCTCGAGAGGGAAGCAGAGGAGGTAGCCCGTTGCGTAGTTGAACTTGCATGTGAGGTGTTCATGCCGCCAGCCTGGCTGGTAGACGAGCCGGAATGGACAGGTGCCTGTGCTGTCTGGATTTCGACCGTCTTGACGAACACCACATGGCATGTTTCAGGCTGACAATGACATTACTTTAGTACTTGATAAAAAAAGAAACACAAAATTACAAGAGGGGGGGAAGAAAAGAAAGAAAAAAAGAAAATACCTCAAGGTTATTGAACAACCGTCCATTCCACTCCTTCTGCCATTCTCTAGCCTTTTTAGCGCTTCGAAACTTCATCAAACACATGTACCGATTCGCTCGTGCCGTCCGGATCATGCGAAAATGACTGACATCGTCCAGCGTCGCCTGCCCGACGAGGCCCAGAAAGTCCGGCGGCGAGAGATACCACGGCACCGCCAGGATGCAGAGCGTCGTGCACTCCTCGTCCAGGTGCGACTGGCGCGACTGGTCCTCCACCTGTCGTGGTTGTTTGTAGCTATCTGGTCCCGACTGGCCGTGGCGAGCAGCAGCCGAGCCGGACAGGTAGGTCCCGTAATCATCGTCGGCGAGGTAGGGCGTTTCCTGAGCGTCCCGATACAGATGTACGACCCCCCAGACGCTGTCTGAGGATCTATGATCCAGAGCTGTGTATTTGCCTCGTGTGCGCAGGCCGCCGAGAATCTCTGTGCCGATTCCCGTCGCGATGGGATTGTCTGAAGAAAAGGTAGAATGACGACTACTACTTGTAGTAGTAGCAGTAGTAGAAGCTCGTTTAGAGGCTCCTGGATCCTGCGTCGGGGCCACCATATCGATGCATTCGATGAAGATCTTATCTAGTCGGGGGTCCGTCTGAGAGTCAGCAGTGGCGGTCGGGGAGGATCGCGGTGACAACGTCGTCGTCGTCGAACATCGGCTTTTCCCACTGGAACCGGGACGAGAGGAGTGCCGTAGGCGCTTCTGAAATGGGAGAAGAGCCTCACACGCGGAATCGAAGGCGAGACTGTCGCTCGTCCGAGTATTCGATGAGGTCGATGACGAAGAATGATGGAGGCTACTGCCCTGGAGATTCGGTTGATGGGATGTGAGCAACTCAAGAACGACGTGATAGAAGTATGAGGGCATCCCGGCAAGATGCTCACTCACATCGCTGAGGGCGTAGAAGATATGCTAGAACAGTTCTAACTCTTCTCTCACTTGCTGAGGATTATTCCCTCCAAAATGACATAGTGCTAAGTGGGGGGTGGGAGTCACGTGTGATGCCGTCGGTGTGTCCACTGTCACCGTGTGTGGCGATAGTCTGTACATGGTTATCTACATGGTCTCTATTCTTATTATGGATGCAGTTAAAAGAAGCTACAGTTTACTGGAACGTATGTAGGGAACGCAGATTTGACTCTGGTTATTTCATTTGAAACTATGTAAGGTCTGTACCAGCTGGTCGAAGACGCCCAGATCAAACCGTAAAAATCTTGGAAGCAAAGAAGCCGTCCCAACGCCACGCAGGTCATTCAACCCAGAGAGAGAAAGTCATGATTAGAAAGAAGGTTGATCAGAAGGGAAGAAATGATAAGATGCACTTAGTTGCCGCCACGGAGACGGAGCACCAGGTGCAGGGTGCTCTCCTTCTGGATGTTGTAGTCGGAAAGCGTGCGACCATCTTCCAGCTGCTTGCCGGCGAAGATGAGACGCTGCTGGTCCGGCGGGATACCCTCCTTATCCTGAATCTTGCTCTTAACGTTGTCGATGGT